TGCTGGTGCTGGTGATGGTGCTGGTGGTGGTGGTGCTGGTGCTGGTGGTGCTGCTGGTGGTGCTGCTGCTGCTGCTGCTGCTGCTGCTGGTGCTGGTGCTGGTGCTGCTCGTGATGCTGGTTGGGTGCTGGTTGGATGCTGGTGATGCTGGTGATGCTGGTGATGCTGGTGACGCTGATGATGCTGGTGATGCTGGTGATGCTGGTGATGCTGGTGACGCTGGTGATGCTGGTGATGCTAGTGATGCTGGTGATGGTGGTGATGGTGGTGGCAGTGGCGGCGGCGGTGATGGTGGTAGCTGTGGTGGTGTGATGCTGGTGGTAATGGCGGTGATGGTGGTGGCGGCGGAGAATTTGCAGGGTAAGGGGGAAACAGTCTAACCGTAAAACGTCGAATTTGAAGGGTAAGCGGGAAAGAAAGCGGAGAATTTGAAGGGCAAGGGGGAAACAGTCTAACCGTAAAACGTCGAATCTGAAGGGTAAGGGGGAAAGAGTCGAACCGTAAAAGCGGAGAATTTGAAGGGTAAGGGGGAAAGAGTCTAACCGTAAAAGCGGAGAATTTGAAGCGTAAGGGGGAAAGAGTCTACCCATAAAAGCGGAGAATTTGAAGGGTAAGGGTAACTGGTAAGGGGGAAAGAGTCTAACCTTAAAAGCGGAGAATTTGAAGGGTAATGGGGAAAGAGTCGAACCGTAAAAGCGCAGAGTTTGAAGGGCAAGGGGGAAACAGTCTAACCGTAAAAGCGCAGAATTTGAAGGGTGAGGGGGAAGGAGTCGAACCGTAAAACGTCGAATTTGAAGGGCAAAGGGGAAAGAGTAGTCGAACCGTAAAAGCGGAGAATTTGAAGGGTAAGGGGGAAAGAGTCTAACCGTAAAAGCAGAAAATTCGAAGGGTAAGGGGGAAAGAGTCTAACCTTAAAAGCGGAGAATTTGAAGGGTAAGGGGGGAAGAGATAGCCGTAAAAGCGGAGAATTTGAAGGCTAAGGAAAATTTCCAGGATGCTCCGCACGGGAACGTGATTTTGAACGAAGAAACGATGAAAGTTTAAGGATGCTCAGCACGGGAGCGCAATCTTACGCAAAATTTTCAGGATGCTCCGCACGGGAGCGCGATTTTTCTAAAAATTTTCAGGATGCTCCGCACGGAAGCACAACTTTCTTCCAAAATTTTAGGATGCTCCGCACGGGCGCGATTTTCTTCAAAACTTGGAGGAAGAAGACTTGCTTGAGCGAAGCAGTTGATATAGAATTGGTATAGGATTAGCCGCTCAGATTTTGAACGACGATGCCGACGAATCCTATACCGGAAACCTCCGCTCGATGCCGCCCTCTTGAGCCCAAAAAACCACCTCGAACGAAGTACACCAAAACGCGTCTGGTATAGAATTGGTATAGAGATGAAGATAAACCGACGAGATCTCGAGGATGTTCCGCGCGGGAGCGCGACTTTTTGAAAATATGAAGATGATCCAAAACGCTAAAAAATAGAATTGTCCAGAGCAAGAGCACAATTTTTGAGCGATTCTTAGGCAAGCAAAACTTGAAATTTCGAGGATGCTCCGCACGGGAGCGCAACTTCTTGAAGATATGAAGATGGTCCAAAACGCCAAAAAATCGAATTGTCTTGAGCGGGAGCGCCATTTTTGAGTGATTCTTAGGCAAGCAAAATCTGAAATTTTGAAGAGGTCTCGCACGGGAGAGAAATCTCCTTTTTTTGATCGAAAATCAAACTGGAACGTCAATCTTTTGAGGATGCTCCGAACGAGAGCGCGATTTTGAAGCGAACAAGGGCGCGTCCCAAATTTTGCGCGACGAAAGAATACCCAGGCACGGCAGGCGACAGCACATCAAACAACTAGAACGCCACAGGAATGTGGTGAATTACTAGTAATAAGGACGACAACTACGATTTGGCAACTGCTAGTGCTACAGCTACTCCTACAGCTACCGCTACAACTACTGCTACCGCTTCTTCTTCTTCTTCGATGCGCGAATGCTGCGATGCAACCTTGCGAGCCTCAAAAATGACTTTGTCCTGAGGCAGTGGTGAGCCGCCACTTGTGGCTGGCACTCTGACATAAGCTGCAATTCGGGCCTAGGCCCCAAGCAACTGCAGCACAACTATACAGGGGCGTTGACAAAACCTTCGAAGGCAAAACGTCGTCGAACAAGTACTGGACTGCGCAGAGGGAGCCGCGTGCCAGAATGGAAGCAAACAATAGCCGCATTGCCCACAACGGCAGTGTCCAGCTCGACGACCGGGTCCAATATGCACCACTACTGCAACTGGCCTCGCCAGGTTTTTCAGTCCACTTCGGTACCTGACCAAAGTCCGTGTTGGTGATGATGCCAATGTACTCTGATGCATCCTGCTGCTCCGCGTTGTACTCCCACGAACGAAGGTGCTCCATCATGGGTCTGAGCAGTGCCGGCGTAGATCGCCTCCAACGATTCCATGTTTCCGCCACCTGAGCCCCCATGTCCTGACAAAGTCCAAGTGCCTTGTCTTGCCGCTTGAGGGTTCTCGTAGCTGGTGCTCGGGCGCGGCGGAGTCTGCCCTTGCGATGTAAAGACGGCACTGCCGCAGTGTCCATCAACTCTTTCCGAGCCGACCTGGATCCCCTCGGGCGGAATAGGTGGGTCTTTCCAGAGCGCCGACGCTGAGTCTGCAGGTTTCGCAGCTGTGCCCAAGGCCTCTTCGCACGGTTGTTCCTGGCCTGCTTCTCTGTAGCAAAGCCCGCGCCAAGGGTCTGTAATCAACCTCGACGATTTCGGCCTCTGTGAGAAAATACGGCCTCCTCATGAACCGAGGCTGCCATCTGTTCAATTGCCATTTGCGATGCCCTCCGACTCGCTGCCCAACATCTCCACGTCCAATGGGGACCCCTCAGGGCCAATGGCGCCTGCGGAATCCACCACATCGGCCGGCAACGCAACGGCAGCAGGCACGGAGCAGGAGGAAACCATGACTTCACAGAGTAAAACGGTTGAAGGCGTAAAGCGTTTCAAATCACAATGGACCAGTGCTCCCAGATCTTGAGCCAAAATGGCAAGAAGATTCTGGCAGCATGTTCCAGACATATGCCTTGCATTCCGCAGGCTACAGCAAGTGAGCAAACTTGTACTAGTAAACAGGTCACAGACCAGCATTTGCATGCAATTGTTCAGCTATCAACAACACCAAAACTCTTGCCTCCAGCTCGATCAACGCTTGCAAGCTGCCCACCTGGCCGATGTCCCATCTACCATGTTGCAACGATCCATGCAGGATGCCCGCTCTTGACGTGATCGCAGGGTTCCCCTCCTTATCTAAGAATGTGCAGCTGAGCAGCCAAGCTCGCCACGGTTCGGGAGCCCAGCGGCCTCAGGAGCGCTCTGCCAGCTGAAGCCAGCAAAAGGTTTGCGGCAACGGATTTGAAGCAGCTCATGGGGGCCCGACTCCTGGCCACCCTGTCAATTTGGTTACACTTTTCATACGATCTCTCTTGCGCCTAGCAGGCCTCGAGGGCATCCCGGAGCCTGAGTCGAGCTTGAAAGCACCAAGGCAAACCAAGGTGCAAAAATGTCAGCAACTGTACGCGGAATCGTCTGAGTGCTCAACATTCTAACAAAGTGGCCGGAGGCATTGTAGAGAATGGCCGTGCCACCTTCACCTGTTCAAGACAAGTTCATCTGGCAGACACTGCCAGATCCAGATGCAACTCACTTAGCAATCCAACCTGTCATGAGACACTCGGTACTGCTCGCCTCGGGCCAGGCAACACAGCTGCGACAGGATGCTCCACACCCCGATGACAGTGCAACATGCAATAAAAGGCGCATGCTCCCAAAGTGGCGCTGCGAGCATCACTGGCTTCCCTCAATTCATTGCTACTCCTAAAACCCAGCCCAGCCGCCTTCAACTTAACCAAAAAAAAATCAATTCCTATGTTCAGGTCTTTGCCCTGAATGACAGGAAAACATCTCAAGGTCTTGAGGCTGGCAACAGACCAACGCCAAATGATTAGAATGCAAAAAGGATTCCACGTGCCTCCAGCTCTGCAATGGATGTGAAGCCATCAGCAGCTCCGACAGCCTTGCAGGTACGCTCCAGTTACATGCGCCCGCCACTTCTCTGCTCGAATAAGGCACCAGCGATCATTCGACCCCATGCCTCACGATGCTAGCAGAGCATTGCAAGCGCAGAAACCTGACACCGATGGCGAAGGCCAAGCCTCAGCTCCGGAGACCGCGGAGACGGCGGAGACCGCGGCCAGGTCTCCTCCTGGCTTCGTTTAACGTATTACCCTTTGGCTCAGCATGGCCAATGATTCTCCGGCCTGCGAGCGGCACAGCAGCCAGTGTCTGTGCCACAAGCCACGTCAACCAAACTGAGCAACGTCTGGAATGTCGGATTGATCCCACCTGGCACACCGAAGGAAATAGACAACTCAGGATGCCCACCATACGTTTTCATGTTGAAACGGCATGATCTCGTGTGAAGATCTTCCGAGGCAAGTGCCCTGCCTGCCCCAAGCGAGCGCCGCAAGACTGAGCCATGACATCATCGCATGCACATGTAAATGTTCAGTAAAACCAAGCAGCCAATCCAAGTATTGATGGTGGGTGTTGCACTGCAGGCATGCAGTTTTTGGAATGTTTGGTCGTGGGATGTCGGTAGTCAATACACAAACATACTGATCTAATGCTATCATGTGATGTGGTGTGGATCCAAACACATGACTGTCATGTTCGATCATGCTTGATTGGAATAACATGCACTGCAAATCAAGCAAGCCAACCGGATGTGCAGTGCAATGCATCAGGACCTGAAGGTTCTGCTTCAGCTCGCTTTGCCCTTTGCTCAAGTACCTGCTATGTTCCACCACAGCGAACTCAAGCTAAACGTATCTGCCATGAGCTCTCGGCGCTCGAACTCGGTCAGCATGAGATGCCAGGTTTTAATCACATCTACTCGTCGCGGTCTTAAAATCCACAGAGCCTTCGGCTGACTTCAGAGATTCTCGGCACTTGCGGGAGGTGTTTGTCAAGAACATATCTACCATGCAACATGGCAGCATTTGCAGAACCTCTGATGTGTTCCTGCTTATCGGAGCAAGAACTGCACAGCTGTAACACTGGATTGACCAGCACCGCGTGCAGTTCTGGTGCCTACCACGAGAACACATGCTGCAACAGAAACTTCTGCTGCAAAATGTTCTCAGACAGATGTAACGGCACATACAATGGTCGACGGCATAACTCTTTTGGGGTACCACATGTGGCTTCACAGCACCGACGACCCGTGCCGGCATCCTTCAAAAATTCGTCCACCTTTTTTGACGCCAGCAACCCATCTGCAAGCGGCACCAGAGCAGGGCCATCAGGCCTTCATCTCCAGGTCCACGTCAGACCTCAAACAATCTCATGGACGCGGTTGAATTCCTGAGTGGCCTTTCTGAGAGCACGACGGCTTCCGACCCTCGATTTCAAGCAGACGTCGCTGAGCAGCTATCCGCTCAGCCCTTTGCGGCATCGAAATGTCGTCTGATGGATCTGTTCACTTCAAAAGCTGAGGGCTTCACAAAGCCTTCTCTAAGAGCTCTTCTGTTTCTGCTAGACCTTGCAGCATCATCCCCGCCAGTGACAAATTCAAACCATGTGTCACAGTTTAAGGCAACTACGGCGCTCAGCGCCCGCACTTCTTTCCTCGGCTGCATTTCTGCAGGCATTTTCTGCCGCAAAGCGCCTGGGTCATCAAATCACAGAACACTCAAAGGCTTGCCATCACAAGCTGGCATGTTTCGGGCTGGTGCGTGTCAGCAGCAGCCACTTTTCGCTGCAGTGACGAAACTTCCTGCTCGAGCTGATCAGCACGGGCCTGCAGCCGTTCTGGTCGGACCCACAAAAAGTTGTGGCCTTGCTGTACTAGAAGTACGCTGCCTCAGCTTCTCTGCCAGATGCTTCCAGCTTAATGCGTTCCCTGGCATCGGCCTAACATCAGATAACGACAAGTGCACCGTGACAGGGCCAACTTCCCAATGAAAAGAAAGCACTTGCAAGGCCTGGCCTCTGCAGATGCAGCAGACTGCACCAAATCCGCCTCTCATGCGCGTGGCTCTCTTCCGATTAAAACTTGAAATGCATCGGGTTACCTGCATGTGACTGCATGTTTACATGCAAGGCCTCCAGAGAAGCAACTCTCTGTTCGAGCTTCTGGCAAGACTCTTGAGCTGCTGACTTCTCTGCCTGCCAACTGCCAGATCAAGGCTCAGGCTACTCGCATTGCAGCCTTCGTCCGTTGATAGGTTTGTGGGGGTTCATACCTATACTTGTATATGAAATTGGAGGGCCTCCAAAGAAGCAGCTTTCTCCTCAAGCTTCTGGCAGTTTTCTTCAGCTGCCAACTTTTCGGCCTGCCAATCGGAAAGTCAAGAGGACCCTGATTTTCGAGCAGCGCTGTAGCCTCCAAAACCTTCCGTGAGTTCTCTTCTTCAGAGAGCTTGGCTTGCGAAGTGGCAAGCTGCTCCTGATCCATCAGACATCAACAAAGCCTTCCACCGTCACAGCGTGCTGCTGATAGACCAGGCGTGTCTCCAGCAGACAGAGAACGAGACTGGGGTGAGAAGACAGGAACGGCCAACTTACCCACAACTTACCCAGCAAAGTGCAGTTGGTGCAGACTGGGCGAAGCATTTTACAGGCAGACAGTGATGTTTTAGCATGCTGCTTGGGACTCCTGGAGTTCGGCAATGAGCTTCTGCATCCGTTCAGACCTAGAGTGAGTGGTATTGTCTCCACGATACGTCGATGCACACAGAAGATGCCGGGACTGGGCTTCAGGCTCTTGAGCAAATGTCTGCTTGTCTACCTCAAGAGTTGTGAGAACATGGCACATCTACTGAGCATGTTGCTGACCAAAAGCCCCACCACTGCCTCCTGTGCATCCGCCAGTGCAGTCAAATCCGACCTTGACACCAGGAACTCCATGCGGTAAATCCCAAATCACTGTGGAGCTGAGTCAAAGTCTTCGCCGTCTCGAGCTCCTATTCACAGATCTGCCATCCCCATAGCAGGTCCAGAACTGCAAACGGAAGCAGGCCAAGAGTTGTCCTGGTCTCGCAGCTCCAGCTTTGACTCCACCTCTTTGCGTGCGGCAATCTCCAAATCTAACCTTGGAGTTCCAACATCATCAAAAAGTAAGCAGACTGGCTTGATAGGCCATATGGAACTGCAGTCTTCTGCAGCGCGGGCGGCGAAGCAATTTGGGCCCCAGGCTTTTGCTTCACTTCCTTCAACTCCTGCTGCTGCTCTTCCTTCGAAAGCAGTTCTGAGAGTGAAACCTCTCCAAGCCATGCAATGACACACATCCCCTATGCCTAAGGCAGTCCTGCAGTCTTTGTAGCTCCTCGTAGCGCTGCCTCAACACATGGCTTGGATGACAGATTTTCGTTGCTGTGTACCGTGTTCTTTGCCGTGCATACAACGCACACTTCCACTGGAGTTACTTCGGTCAACGTTTGATGATGGCGCCAAACTTGCAGAACCAAGACAGGTAAGATGCTGGTGCTCGGCTTCGACAGCTTTGGCAGCCTCTCGGGGCTATTTCGGAACCACGGTGCTAAGATACTGCAAGGAGCTTCCTTCCGCCTTCTCTGCAAGCTCTGCCCGATGCTCTACCTCACGACGCTCGCAGACCTGAAGCGCGCTGGGCAGATTTGGTAAAGGCTCTGCTTGACTTAATAGTAGACAAGCAGCTGCACTGTCTGCTTCTTTCAGCGCCTCTTTGACAGCTGCCTCAGTGAAGCCAACAGCCCATTAGCACCGTCCCTTCTACGCTCTGTTGGATGTAGAGGTTCGTACTTCTGCCTCAACCAATTGTGCTTCAAGCTCTTCCTTCACTTCCTGCAGACAAATTTCAAAACTGCCTTCATGCTAGCCTCTGTATTTTTTTTCCTAGTGTGCTGGTTCACTTGATGAAGAACGACATGCATTTGGCCCACCATTTGCGCGAATTGTGACCGGGGGCCGATTAACTTTGAGCATCTCTGAGCAATTTCTGATGATAAACTGGTTCATGATGTTTCCAAACTCCAGCAAAACTGTTGTCATGGTATCGCGCAAACCGCTGGGGGAGAAGATTTCAAGTGGTCTCAGAGACTGATGCAACTGGAAACAACTTCGCGTTTGCAGAAACATTCCTCTGCATCCTGGAGCCCCACGATTGCACAATTCCGATGCTGAACCTCACGCGTTGACTTGATTCCCGAATTGCCTTCGGTTTTGATGTGGTTTGCAGGGGGATGAAGCGAGGGCAAAAGAGCTCGTCATGGATTCGTGTCAAAACCTTGAGGACTGAAACGGAACCAGATCGCATTTTGCTGCTCTGCTGTCAGCACACTACCAGAACTTTTAAGCGAGCATGCAGCAGATTGTTGAGCGAAGTCTTTCCAATAAGCAGCGGCTGAGGTGTAGGGAATCCTGCTGTGTTGTGCCCCGGTGGGCAGAGTGAAGTTGACCAGCAAAGGTTGCAGTGAAACTTGGTTTTGGTCTCGGTGAATGTATGTTCCCGCATCCAAGCATACTGCCTGACCGACTATCCCATCTTGGCATCTTGGCATGGCAGCACAACCAGCGGCTCAGTCTCTTCCAAGAGTTGATATTGAACCGCTGCTCTACATTTCATGCCAACCAGCTGTGCTTGAGCTTCTGGGCTTCGAAATGAGGGCGTCCCAGAGGCGGAGCAATCACGTGACTAGTGACATCTGTTGACGTGGCCCAACGTGACAAGCCATTTGTATTTTCTAGCGCAGAGAACTGTTCATGTTCACCTGCAGTTGTTACAGCGAACATTCGATGCATCTTTCCGGTTCAAAAGCTCCAAATAGATAACTTCTGCAGTGGTTGCATTCGGACCTGCCTTGACGGTGGAGTCCTTCTCGGCTTCGATCTCGGAGATGCGCATGCGCAGGCTCTGAAGCCGCTCCTAATTGCAAAGCAAAGCGAGTTGACAAAAGAGGGCAATCTGGAGCAGTTGAATGTTGAACGTCTTTGAGCAATCTTCAGCGCTCCTCCGCTTCCTGCTCCTGCAAAGGCTTCGCAGACAAATCTTGGCCACGCCGGCTCAGCTGCTCTACCAGGCCTCTTGCTCGCTGCGCGGACTCAACATCAGCGGCACAACATCCGAGCCTGGGAAAAAGCAAACACGAATTCACAAGGACTGCAGAGCAACCCAAAAGTAAGCGCAAAACTAAGCAAGTCCTTGAGTCCCTTCGAACGTCTCCTGCAGTGCAATGCTGACTAGTGGCAAACCTGGCTTTCAATGTACATAATGTACATGCTCGGAAATAAGGTTTGGACGCAGCTTGCTTCAGAGCCAACGCCCAGCCTGACATCCAAAACAGCTGATGAAAACCACCAGACCAAGTGTGGGATGCTTGGAACAGGCACTGGGAGCCCTGCGTTCTGCTTCCTCTGTAGTGTCAAGCTGGATTGCCAGCAAGGGACTCCCAGGCGCCTACCGCACCAATTGCATTGAAACACTATGCCACCACCAAATCATGCGACATAACTTTGAACGCCAAACAAACAAGCTCCCCTGCCGAAAGCATAGAACAAAGATACGTACTGACTTGTTCGCCACTGGACAGCCCTGGCAAGTTCTGGACGACTAGATGCTGTGCCACATGTCTTGATCTTTTCAAGTACAGGAGGCTCTGCCATGTCAGGCTAGGCTCGGAGTCATGTACTTCTTGCGCTGGCAAGAAGTATGTGCGTCAACCCACTTTGTGCTGGAAACCTCTTTTTCCTTGATCGGCGGAAAGCCCCGACAGAACCCAGCAAAGGCATGCGCAGACACATGAAGATTCTCAGGCAGCCTCAATTCTAACCGTTGTTGGCGCTCTGAACTCGACAGTAGCAGCATGGAGCACGACGGCAGCCTTCCAAAACAGAGCTTACGCCATGAGCTTGCTGCGCTGAGCAGCAAGTGCAGAGAAAGACTGTGCTCTGAAGCGAAACCCTGGCGCACGGCCTGTTGCTTGCCTTTTCGCTGGATCATGAGCAGATCTCCATGGAGCCGTGCAAAGCAACGCGCAGGCCAAAACATACCTCTGCAGCCCAAGAACTCAATGCTCACTCGAACTTGTTATCTCGCACTACTCAAGTCATGAAGAGCCTCCAAGTTTGTAAGTCACTTCGCCACCGAGCGTGTCCACTGGTGCGGGCGCTACGTTCATGGCACCCAGGTTGAGCGGTGGCACAGCCACTGCAGCAACCATGCTTGAAACTGAATTGAAACACTGGCCCCAAGAAGTAAAGAGAGCCGAAACACTGCAGTGGTCCACGTTGGTGTAGCCTGTGGTCCAGGGTGTCTGGCAACAACGCCGCATTTAAGGCCGTTGACCCAATAAACCACACTGCAGGATGCGCACTGCAAGAACTCGTGAACTCGCGCAGCCTTCTCGTTGCCGGATGACCTACAATGGTTGCAGCTTCAGACGGCAAAAGCAGAATCTGAACTGAGCTCAACCCAAGCCACTCCAGGAGGAACCTTTGCCGAAGATCGAAAAGCCTTTCACCACAAAAGCTAAATCGTCAGCAAGGCGAGCAAGCACCATGAAGAAGGACAAGCCTCTCCATCAACTCCTCTGTCTTCAGTTCAGACACCACCTGGTATGCGATGCCGGTTGTCAAGGTGATGAGTTCTCCGAAGGAACAAGCCCCTTACGGCATTGCCGGGGATGTTGGCAACCTGATCGTTGCGCTTGAGTTCAAAAAGTATAAGAACACTCTGAAGCTGCCAAGACGCAGCACAGCGCAACGAGTAATTTGCTGCAGCCGCCTGTACAAAACACTTTCACTTGCAATAGCGGCCAAAGAGTTTGGAACATTGCATTGCCTGTCCCTGGCTTCGAGAGCCCGGTGGCATGGCCTCGAGTTTGAGCAGTATCTAGTTCACAGAGTCTCTCCTCGTAATGACTTTGAGGACCTCATTTCATCAACTGTGGTTGCTTTGAAGGCGTCAACTACAAGCAGTCAACGGATAGATTCTGGTTTCCGGAAGATTGGCAATCCTCTGCCAACTTCTCATGCGCCAGGGAACATGTTGTACCATGCTTCCTGAAGCATGTACAACCACTTACAACACGTTCCGCAACCGACGGGAACTGGCTAAGGCGAAGAGTCATCAGACACCGCCTCCGTTTGCAAGAGTCTTCTGGTCCCGGAACTCGCCCATGGTTGGTACTAGTACCCGAAAAAGAAGCAGCTGCTGGCCAGCTCTGCCAGAACTTTACCAAGCCAGATATTCATGCTGCAGAGTAAGCAACTTCGCGGATCAAAAAATAATGAAAGGGGGTTGGTTCTCTGTTCCAGGCCATTCCCATCTCAATCTTCACTGTGGCTAATAAGTAACTTCGTGACTGGCTCTTGTCTTGGACTGTTGAGCCTGGAAACTCAAGAAGCTAAGGCCGCCACTCGTTTCAAGCCATCAGCCATCTCGAAGCCTTCCACCGCGGCATCGTTTGAAATCCAGGAGCCCTGCGTGACTTGGGCGGGCAACACATGAAACCTTCAAGCCGTGGTTCGCCTCTGGTTCACGTGCCTGCTAGCCTTTAATGGAAGCCTTTCATGAAGTTTCAGATTCACGGGGTATCCCGTAGAGAGAAAATGCTCGTAACCAGAAGGCGTCCTTCCCTTGCATGCCTCCACTTCCTGAGCTTGTGCAACCAGGCCCCTCCCCCGCACCCCATCATCTAACGAATGGTTTTCAAATGCGTGCCCTAGGATAGCTTTTGAACTTTCAGTGTGTATTTGTAAAACTTACAGTGTGAGCCAAATCTCTCATTGTTCTTGTTCTGGGATTCTCGGGACTATCAAAAGGAGCAGAAGCACTGTTGCGGATGTTGCGGCGCTGTTTGCAACACTTCAGGTTTGAGGCTTTACCAGGACTTAATGTCTCCAGGGTTCGCGGGTTGAGGACTATCAGGCTCGTGGGCTTTATGGTTTTTAGGTGAGTTCCGGTGTTTTGGTGGGCTTAGGGTAGGGCGTCTTTGAACTTAAGCCTTCTTGGATTCAAGTCTTTGGGGCTTGGGGCCTTTATAGGTCTAAGTCGAGGTGCGTAAGGGTTAGTCAAGCAAGGCTTCCACTTTCGGGCCTTAAGAATCAAGGCTTCAAGCTTCCACATGAAGGCTTGTTTTTTCAAGGTTTATGGCTTTGCAGTTTCCAGTCTTCCGAGAGTTTTAGGGCTTTGGGACCTGAAGCTCCAAGCTGACAGGATGTTGCGGGTTGTTCAGACTTCGTGGGATCAAGGGGCTGAAGGGCATGTCATTCAGGGCTTTCGGGCATAAGGTCGGAAACCTACAAGCTTAAGATTCTTAAGGTCCAGGAAATAAGAGCTGTAAACCGTTCAGGAGATTTTAGAATTAAAGGATTGGAGTTGTGAGATGGAGTAGCAGAAGAAACGAGAACAAGTCGTTTGGAAGTCATCGTGGCCGTCAGTAGTAAAGCACTGCTACTGCTGCCACTGCGCTGCTGCCGCTGCTACGACGACGAGGAGGAGGATGACTACGACTACGATGACGAAGAAAAAGCAACATGTTGACAAGGGAATGCCGTCGCCCAAAGGTCCGGAATCAGGGAAGTTCAGCGGGCTGGGGTTGGGGGAGGTGCTGCAGCGGATCATCCTGCACGCGACGAAACCCTTTTGCAATGTCAGCATCTTCAATCGCAAGACGATTGGAAGCGCGACTTTGGATTTTACAGTGCCGGTAACAAATGGGCACAAATATGTTGCATCATTACACTCATGTCCAACCCGCTTCTGTTCTTTGCCTTCGAGGACCTGGTCCGAATATCACAAGCTTGACAACTGTCCAACCCTCAAAGCAGTTCTCAAAATTATGAGCCCCCTTTGGCTACAGATTCTATTACGGCCCCTCATATCTAGGGGTACCAAAACACGACCCTAGTTTTGGAAGCAACCCGATGCCTGCCTGGTACGGCCCAGCAGACATGCTGGCTCTATGGGCCTGACATTCCACGAATGTGATGAGTTCTCTTCAACCTCCCCTTTTCATGCATCATCTCCCCTTAAGGTTTCCAGTTACTTAATTTGAGGCCTCAACTATTCCACAACAACTCTTAAAGTTCAGGGTTAGTCGAGTAGGGCAAGTAGCGTCGGGTGTAGTAGGGGAACCCATGAGAATGAAACACTGTACAAAAGCGGCTTTGTCTGAGGCCACAACATACAAATCCCAACTGAAGCAACAAGACCTTCTGCAGTTACCCTAACCCTATTGGAATCTGTTCTTGGCTTTGAGCACACCAACCATTGTAAGCCAGCGAATATCACAACAATGTTTGGAAGCACCTTGCGATTTCGAAGCAGCAACTCGGCAATCTCCTGCATTGTCTCATCAGCCAACCTGCCAGATACTCCCGTGCCACAGTTCGCATGGCCAATGAGATACAGCCACACCTGCAACCAGTGAGCTGGCAATCGAAAAGCCCGGATGTTGAACGAATGCTGTGAAGAAGAGCCTGCGAATATTCCATGTGTCCTTGATTTCCTTCATGCTTCTGAAATCGTGGCTGTGGCCTGTCCGCCGGACGCTTCCAGCGGGTTCCAGGACAGCTCCAAGTGCGACAATGCCCCATTCCCCTGTCAATTCACGCTGTGTTGACTACTTGAGTGTTGCTTGCCGATTCAAGGCCTCAAGAATGGATCCAACTTGAACAGCTGCAGCTTCACCGCACAAGCCAGTATAGCGAAGATCCAGATGCCTGGTGTGCCAAGGGTTGTACAAGGATCGCACCGAACTTTGTTTATGCGGCCTCAGAGATGGGCTTTTCCGCGCCGCTTCGCAGAAGGATGCCAAGGCCTCCTAACATTTGCTGCGAAAAAAAACGGAAAGCAGGCTTCGGGCTAGCCGCTCCTCGCCAGCAGGCCCAGAGGTAATCTCATTGTGCCGGAGAATCAAGCTCTCCAGCGTCAAGCTGGACCTGGGACATGCCAGCAGGCAACAGTCTGAAGGAACCGTTCAACATCAATCCGGGGCTTTTGCTGCAGGGCCTCCGCAATATGCAGCATTCCCGTGGACCTAGCAGGTGTGCATGGTAAACTTAGGGTCTGAGCTTGCAAGAAAGCTGGGAGCCCATCGTGATGCAGCAGCCTGTAAGGTCCAAAAGCTTCAGGCATGCACCTGCAGTCTGCACCCATGGTAGGATGAAGCCCACGTCATCTTCGTGACCGCTGGGCTGAGCCACTCTTACCAGCGAACTCTGCGATTTCCTGCGCACCTGCGCTGTCCAAGCTGGCTTCTTGCAGCACATGCTTTTCAAAGCCAAAGCCTGGCACAATAAACCGGTTCCCGATCACAGGCAGCCCACACGGTTTTGACACGGCCAGGCAAGATGAACAAGCTGTGATGTGTGCACGCGGATACGTGTGAATGCAAGTGTACGGCGGAAAGGGACAGAGTTCCGGAAACCCTTCGCCGAAGTCTTCTCAAACGTGTAAACATCCTTTTGCATTGCGTGGACCGCCTTCTATGTCTTTCACAAGCTCAATGTGCCTGGATGCCTTGAAAATTGCTCATCCCGCTTGCACTACATCTTGGACCCTCGTGCAGCTCGCAGGCTTTTTGTCGTTTGTCTGGCAATACGAAAAACAAGGAATGAAAGCTGCTCCCAGTCAGTTCCATGGTCTGAAAGTCAGTGTGCTCGTATCGAAGCATGTGGTCCACGCGCACCAGTGTTTCCCTGCAATTACCATGCCAGCTGATGAATACAATGGTTCTGTGGCTTTTTTTGACAACTCTTAGACCTTTCACACAACGGCCTTTGCTAAAGCTTTGAAACCCAGACTGATCCAAGCTGAGAGAACATGCCTGCATCTCCAATCTTGGCATGCGCCAGAACAAGTGTCGGCGACTCTTCCTGCAGCAGGCCGCATCGCATGCCGCCGTGATCAGACGACAAGGTGTGACAGCAACAGCCTTTCATGGCTGGCTACACAGATGCGAGGCTGAAGGACCGACAGAAAAATTGCCCAGCAGCAACACGCGTCCTGCGCCTTCAGGAGGGTACTGTAGCACCTGCAAAGCCGCAAGTTTGAGCTAAGTGCGTGCGTGTGCGAGTCTTCTATGTGTTCTACTTCTGTCAGACTAGTGCCCTCAGCTAGAAATGGACATTGAACAGGACCTGTGCATACAAATGCATGCACCCTGGCGCAGATGGGCTCACAGATCTCAATCCCATAGCACTCGTGGCTACAGATAAACACCCGTACTCCGAATGTTTTTTGAGTAAGTTGGGCCGCCATCACATCATAACCCCAACCATGGGATTTAGGCTTGAAACCTGAAATGAAGACACTGACCCTTTGGAGGATTATGAGGTGTGGCGGCCCTCTGAAAAATCAAGCAGGATCTTTGATCAGCTTAGCTGGTTGCTCGCTAACCTGAATTTCTTCATTCGCCATGGTTCGCTTGATCCATAAGCTACGGCACGCGTGTTGAATCACCAAGATGCAGAGCCACGACACAGTCAAATAGCCGTTCGCTCCCTACCCTTGCCATATTGGTGCCATGTTCACGCCATTCCCAGCCTAATTTGTCAGCAGCTTTAAGCTGTTCTGGTCGCGGCTTCACCGCAGCTACAGGCTTGCAGCCAATGCTCAGCCAACTGCTTTACACACGCTGCTCCTCATATCAACGTTGCCTCGGACTTTGTGTGGCTGTGATGAACAGGCAGTTTTGAACATGCTCCTAAGCTCCTGCAATGCAAGCAAGCTTCAGCGCGAAGCTTTCAATGTAGCAGATATGCTGCCATACACATTCTCCGTATAGAAGCAGACATACCGCACGCCATCATACTCAACCACCGTCTGCTGACAGGCCTCAATTCACAGCGCTGGGGGTTACATGTTGTATGTACCCTCAAGAACCCAGCTTTTCATGCTGCGAAGTCTCGTCTTTGTCGGCTGTTTGAGGGCATGAGGACGCCACAAATAAGTCATGGCAGTCCACCAGTTCTTTCACCTCATTATCACATGCTGTCTTACGCAAGGCAGCACCACTTCCAAGCTCGCAAAGTCATCCACAGCAGTAAGGCCAGTATGGAAGTCTGGGAACATCTTTGACAGGTAGCACTTCTTGCTGGCCGTTTCCTTGGCACGGCAACAAATACTGATAAGCCAAATCTTGAACTGTCAGTGGACGCCTTCTGTATAACATGCTGTTCAATTGCAAAAAGGTAACAGAACCCATAAGAGCAAGGAAAGGCTCACAAGGAGAGAAGCAAGACCAGAATAGGGGCAGAGGTGAGAGAGACCTTCACCTTTGCAACCTGCAAGAAATTTGGCCTTAAGTTTTTTGTGCAGTCTTGGAATTCAACATCAGCCTGCAAAAAAGAATGCCCTGCAAGCTCCTAGAGCTAGCTCTTGCGAATTGTGCTTTGAGGGCCAGGCATGGGACCTGGATTGCAAAGTTTAAGAAACAGAATCATGTTTTCTCAAAACCCCAAACAGGGCTTGCTTGAAAGCCTGCAGGCGTCGCAACAGCTCAAGAGTGCGAGCTCCCAGGGCTCTTTGCTTCTCCCCAGCGCTGTTCATGCCTTCATCCACCTCAATTCCGACATCATCAATGGTTGCTGTACCTGGAACAGCGAGCGACTTGCAAGAAGCCATCTAAAGGCTTCCTGCCGCAGAATTCAATCCAGTGCATGCAGGGCACGGAGATCACCAACCCCTTTACCTGTGGCGAGGACGCATGCCACCACAGCCGTCAATAACAGCATTCAATTTGTATATTTTGCAGACTTTCCGCTGAGGCATGCAAGGTGAACGCAGAGCCAAGCGGCTATGGGCGAAGAAGGCTCATGATTCATGACGTGCTGCATTCTTGCCCTAGCTCCATGGAGGACATCTGCATGAAGCTAAACTCATCTCGTTTTCCTCTGAGCATTGAGCTGTCCTGAGGAGCGAAGTGGCAAAGATCTCCCTTGACCTCGCCGGAGCGCTTCCCAGTCCAATTGCAATTCTTTACACAGTTCCTGGGCAGCAGGCTTCCCGACAACGTGTTCAAGCGTCTGCAGCGTTATGAAATTAGGCTGCACAGCGTTGCGCAGCATCAACCGCAACGTTGCTTCGGCTGCCGCGCAGTCTTTCGGCTCTGCCCTTGAGCATGCTTTCAGAAGGAGGTTGTGCATGACAAGATTAGTTTCACCTCCGGCTTCAGAAAACCTTTGCTGCCAAAAACTTACCCCGGCAACATGTCCAGCATTCGCTCTTCCGTCCATCAGGATGCCGAAAGTGACTTCACTCGGTGCACAGCGTCTTAACATGCTTGCGTAGAGGTCCTCGGCCTTCTGGATCTGACTCGTCCTTGCATAAGCTTTCATCAAAGTGTTGTACTGGATCTCAGATGGCGGAGCCATTCTTCTCAAAGCCTCCCACCACCATTCTGCTCTTGAAACTTCTCCAGAGGTTGCTGCAGCGTTCATTAGCATTCTAAGTACGTTGGAGTCTGGGAAAAAGCCTGCATCAACCATGCATCCGTACCAGGCTTCAGCCTGATAAACATCTCCACCTTTTGCAGCAACTTGCATGAGGTTTTTGTACGTCTGCATGCTGGGCGTTATCCCAGCCGCGCGCATTTGGCTGATAATCTCACCTGCTCTGGAAACTGAGTTTGTCCCAGTTCCAACCATTGCAGAAATTGCAGAATTGAAGCTAATCGCATCCGGTGTGAGGCTCTTGGCGCTCATGTCTGCCAGCCAGGAGGCAGCGGCATCAGCCTCCTGTGACCGCGCGAATGCCTTCAAGACAGCATTGTAGCAGTGCCTGTTGGGCTCCAGGCTTGCTGCTTTGGCCGTGTCAAACCACGCGACAGCCAGTGCTGAGTTGTCAGCTTCTGCACAAGTATTGATGACTGCCGAATAGACATAGCAATTAGTTTCAACTAGACCAGATTCCATAATTGCCAGGAGCTCACTTGCAGCTGCAACATCCCTTCTCGCACCAGCCTGAATGCAAGTCGCAAATAGCTGTGCGTCTGGCGTTAATCTACAACAAGATATCTTGTCTATCCAAGGCATCACAAGATCTTGCCGTCCATGCTGAGCCAACTGCGTCATCAGTTCAGAAATGGTCTCTTTCTCTTGAATCGCATACTTTAGGCAAAGGCCAGCCAGCTCTTCGGCCAAAGCAATGCAACCATGCTTTACAAAATTGCGGATGAGACTTTGCAGAATGTATGGGCGCTTCTTGATACGGGTGGACTGAATCAGCTCTTCGAGGATTGGGAAAAACTCTGTCGCATCCAACTGTATTCCTACCTCCACAGCAAACTCCAACCAATGTTGTGCCTTAAAATAAGTTAGCGGATCGCACAAGAAACCATGGCACAGAGCTGCAATGTGACGTGATCGAGGCTCCGGAGCTTCAGCATGAATGCACTCGGACATCCATGCTGTCATCCAGGATTCGGCTCGCAACACATCAAGGCTGGCCAGGTGTTCACAGAAACGACCTCTCAAAGCCTCATCTTTGTAGCCCATCTGCAGCAACAGAATGAGCCAACGTTCAGCGTGCCAGATATGTCCTTCTTTGATGCATAAATTGACAAAGCCTGGGCCTGCCTCGAAGAGCACCCGCTCAGCCTGGCCAGCCCCCGGCAACGAGCTCGAGATTGCAACCAGTCGCTCCATCAGAGAGTCGGCAAGAAGCAATCCGGGCAAGCCACTTCTGGCAAAGTCAAGGATAATCCGACCAGCACCTGCTGGTACCTTCTCGACTTGTAGCAATGGTGCCAAACAGATCTCGGCCAAATGGGGCTTGTCTGCTTTGCATAGATCCAGCACTTTGGCCAAGATTACGCTCCAAGACATCTGGGAAACGCTGGATCTCCATGCACGCAGATCCTCCAAGTCTGTTGCTGATGGCACCGGACGACTCCATGCGGCAAACTGCCGCAAGTTGTCCAGCTGACTATTCAATGCTCGTGTAGAACATTTCTCGGCTTGAGCGGTGTTCTTTTTGCAAGGCACGTCTCTGGAGACACCTCTTGCAGTCTTATCACGTGCAGTGATTTCGTTCTTCTCATCATCATCTGGGGTCGTCAGCTGCAGGCCGTAAGACTTCAAGTACTGGAGCCAGCGATTTGCCTTGTCCGTCTGGCTTGCTTTTCTATAAATATCTGCAATTCTGACAAATATCGTTCCGCTATCCTTACTCACACTGCTTGCTTGCACTGCCGCCCGCCTTCTAATTCTAGTCTCAGTTTGCTGAGCAATGAACACCAGGGACAGCGAGATGCCACTGACTCCAGTGTGTAGCGCTCCGTGCATCACGCGACCATGTCTTCCGCAATCAATTGTTCTCCCCCGATGCCTGGCGATTGTGCAGGCGTGCCCGGTCTCCAACACAGTGCAGACGACCATTGCTCGTACCTGAGCCACTGGTCCTGAAGACGGAACTGCAGTCTTTGAACACTGATGCCATTACGCAAGCCAAGTTCTGCGTGGCTGCACTGTAGCCACTGCAGACGCTTAGTCAGAGCATCTAAGCTGAGAATTGCCCCCTCTGTCCAGTACCGCATTAGCACAGCCCATTCAAGTTGGATCATGCCTTGAATGGCCTTCGCCTTACAAGTCAATGTCACAACTGCATAGAAGTGTTTCACAAGGCAAAGGAGCACACAAATGCTTTAAGGCTGCGCTTGCTGTCTCTTGCAGCTGCAAGCCTCATCTACTTGCGGCAGCCCCGTCTTAGGGCTGCAACTACACTGCAATCGGCCGGGCCAAGCATGATGACTTGAAGCCAATGCTGGGGTATCAACCTTACTTCTCGGAGTGCACCTTGGGGGCATCACACAGCTGAGGCAGGGTCGTCAGACACGGATATGACATAAATGACGACCACTCAGCACCAAAAAAGCATCGGCCTTGTTGAGATTGCTCGAATCACGTAGCTGAAACCCTCATCAGAAAAGCCCGATCTGCCGGAGAATGATCACCAGAATGAGGAACACCACCATACCAACAAATATGGGGATGAACCTGCACGGGAACATGCAACGGATTGCATGCAATAAACGGCAAAGCAGCTGAGGGCTCCGTGTGGGCTTACACTGTAACTTCGTTTGCATGGCAAAGCAACTTCTTCCAGAGCCCAAAGTCCGGCCATGCAAAGCCTCAGCAGCACAATCGACAACAAATAGAGAGCCCACTGATGCCCACTGGCTGCAGGGTCCTTGGCAGGACGCTTTGACCAAAGTGCAGGCAAAGGTCCCAAGGATGACAGGTAGGTGCCCCAGTCTCGGCCTGCTTCGTGGTGCTTCATGGGGGCAAACTCGTGTAAATGAGCCTAGTAAATCTGTGTCTTGCACTGACTACGAAAGCAAGCTGAGGCAGAGAGAATAGAATCCTCCTTACAGTTAGCACACTTCTTGGCAAAGTTGTCCTATATGCTGCCAGGTGCATCGCCTGCCTTCTGTTGGCGTCAGCAGTTGCGGATCTTCATTGGGTTCTTCCCGGGCAATTCCCACTCGCCTACCCTGCGCCTGCACCGGTAAAAACGCTCAAAAGGGATGATGCCGGTTCAACACGGGCTTTCACACCAAGGATTTTGCACTAGACTCACTAGACATCCGGAAGATCATGCGCGATTGACGCTTTGAGTAGCGCCTCTGCCTGTGTGAGAACCTCGGCTAGTTCAGATAGACTGTAGGCAGTTCAGGCCTCCAGTCATTGATTGATTGCTTGATTGCTGAGGTGAGGGCCCACATTGTCATGTTGACAGAGCCTACATCTTCCTGCAAGGGCAACACCGCACAAAAGAACCTACATCTAACCGACACAAGGATGCCCCCGGGTGCACCCTCCTCCTCCCCGTCGTAAAAGGTTATGTCGCTTGGGCCCACCGTCAGAGCGTCTGAGTCGCGAGCAACCCTGACAGAAGGCCAAGATTCTGGGCTTCTTGCTGTTGGTGGAGCCCTAGCATGCACGAATGATCGCACCTTTCCAGGTATTTGCCAAGGTCAAGGTCAAAGCTGCCCAGAAATGTGTCTCCCATTAACCTCAGACTTGCTTCACACTTCAGGAAAGTTGCATCATGTGAAGCACTGCAAGAAACTCCCAGTTGACCTACTAGTATATCCCACAGGGTTGGCAGCCACCTGAAGGAACAAATGGCAACAAAGCAGCTCGTGGTGGTACAGACTGACTGTCATGGTGCAAGACCAAGATGGCATTTTGATCCTTGGATACACCTTGGTGGGCACGTTGCTGCTAGAATTCTGTCGGGATGTAAGCATTTGTCTGAAGCACCATGCGCCAGTTGAAGACAGCCTTGCCATCCACGGAGTTGAAGTGAACCTCAACTCAGCAGATGGCAGCGGACGTCGGAGCAACACTAAGCAAGCAACCTGACCGCTTCAAAGGGCATCCGTCTGCTGTAGGGCATCATATTCGCCAGTGTATTCTTTACAGTCAAGCTGTGTCTGAATCTGCACATTCGTGGATTCGCCATTCCTCAGCTGATGCGTTTCTGTCTGTGCGTGTTCCTGCATTTCGATGTCCAAGCTGCGCAAGCTTCACGCCAGCTGCTGTCCAGATGACCAATCGAACTTCCAGCCTCACACCCAGAGCAACTGCATGACATAAGCTTCAATTATACCTTCAGCTCAATATTTAATGGTAACAAGTTTTCTTACCCACAAACAAGGAAAATTGGCAAATCCTCCGCTCTGCTGCTCCGTTGTGGGCGGCTTGCTCAGAGTCGATGGCTTTACTGCAGCAGCATCAGACGACTCGATCATCTCAACCCACCTCACACAATACATGTGGAAAATGAAAGCAGCTTAGGATCTGTGGCACAAGCGTATCAGACGATGCGAGAAAAGACAGTGAAAACCAAGATTATTCGAGCAGGGTCAGAACACTCGCAACAGCCAAAACGTTGAGAATGTGTTGAAACCCCCACAAGTGTGACCCAGCACGAAACGCAGCAAAATGTATGCTTCAATCTACTTGACTTAAATAAAGATAACTCAAATATTAGGCTAGTAATCAAAACCACGTGCCCCGAGTGCACGTTCCTATGCTGTCTGATCCGGAGGGTCTGGATCCCATACTTGATCCGGAGGGTGTGGAAAATGACTGACGCTTGCTGGCTCCCACAATGATACAGGGTGAGTATGTGC